CTAATGACCACTAAAGGGAAAAACTTCCTTACAACATTCCATCCACTCACTCTGGAAATGATTTCAAACCGTGCATGATAAACTCCCCATTGTAGCTCTTCGCCATAGTTTATTAGGCAATGTTGTTGAATTGGTCTGCTTTAATTTCTAACTCGATGAGTTAATGATATATCTGGAGTAGTCCAGGAAACTCTTGCAGTCACAGGTGACACAAATAATGGTAATAGATGTAGATCAGATTGGTTCTCCTATTCCATAAGGCATAATGATGCATTAGGCTGAAAATGTTGAGTGGATGCAGAAAAAAAAAAGTATATTTTCCCAGTGCTGTACCAATCTTTAATAGCGCCTTCTAACCCAACCCATTAGTTCACTTTTTAATCAATTGGGTAATCGGCGCCCCCACTTCGAGCTCGTGCCCTGTGCAAATACGCCACTCGCACTATTAACACTATGGCCCTGTATTTTCCAGTTCAGTTTCTATATGTTTTATCCTAGTATTGACGTATTTATCTACATTTACTATGTGTTTTTCTATATTGTTGTTACAATCCTTTTGTACACTTTCTATAGCTTTTTCAACTTCTTTGTGTACAATTTTTATCTTGTCTTTCATTAAACTTCTGTAAATCTTGTATCTCTACTTATAATTCCTCTCGTCATTTATTTATTTATTTACCTATTTATTCAGTCAGTCAGTCAGGTCATGTTGACAAATTTAATAAAAACCAAATGAAAAAGCTAGATTTTTTCTTCCATGTTTCATTGCATTAAAAGGAGCCTAGACTTCAGGGGAAAAATCTTATTGGTATTTACATTTAGATATAATGTTATTTATTGACAAACTTAGGACTACTAATGACTTAATTTTGTTAAAATCGAACTTTTTTTTTATGTTAGTTAAAACAATCTGTGGAATACAGGCATACCATTTATTTTCTATCTTCTTATTTTAACGTAGAAATTTTCATAACATTTCGTTTATTCTGAGACTATGCAGTTTTCGCGTAACATACGGTCTAGAAAACCATCAAGTTTATTTTGCTCTAGCTGCTTTTGTGTCGTTGTTGTTCTCTGAAGATAATATTTGCTCCACCTGCAAGAGTTATTGCTGTATGTTGTGCAAGAATGTAGATGAATGCAGTGTCCTTCATTAATTAGGCAGATGATATGTACCAGTTATTGTAACGAATCTGTGGTTATGTATTTATTTTAATATAAACGTTGTTTAGATTCAATTTGTATTTAACAATATGCATAGCTTACAGTGTTAGATATGTATTGCTTGTAACGAATTTGTTATACATTTATTTTAATGTCAACGTTTGTCTGAATTGAGTTTGTATTTAAAAATGTACCTAGCTTACAGAGTTAGTTACGTACTGCAAGGTTGTAGAATATTCGTGAACGTAAGAATCGACAATATATCCACTTCCGTAACCAGTTAAATAACTTTACACCTCAATAATATTAACATAAGCATTTTTTGCAATCCTGGTGCTCATTTATGCTTTCCAAAATGAGTAAACAAGAATAACATGTTTATTGGCAAAGTTGGAACTACTAGACAACTAAATATTATATAATTATGTTTGATTAAACACGTAAGGACTTAGATAATAGTCTACTTCCGAAACTTATAGTTTGAGTTATTAGAAATAATTTAGTTATTAACACACGTTTTCTTCAAATACTTTAAAAACAATATAGCTACTTATATATACTTATAAAATTATTTAACATAGAATCTTCTTTTGTTTCTCTGGTATTTTTTGTGATGTTTAATATACAAGATGGGTGTATATAAACGTACAGGAAATAAAATTATACGCAAGTTAATGTAACTAGTTGTTTGCAAAAAAATCAAAAAGAACAACTATAGTTCAAACTCGCTGAAAACATAAAACACGCATTTATAACGAAGTATCAACGTAACACGGTATCAACTGAGAAAGGAAAAAATGGGTGTTTTACAGAATGGTTCTTTTACTCAGTTAAATTTAATGAAATTTAATACTTAAACGGTTGTACAAACAGCTTGCTTAACCAGTTGGAAAGCAGCGAAACTTCAACCATCTTCCCAACGAGCTAAGAAAGTTGTGTATTTTACCGATTTGTGCTTGTCAGATACGTCTCTCAAACATCACCTTTTTGTGTTTCAATTACCCGTTTACTTCACTTCAAAGTAGAATGTTTACAAAAGGTTTAAAGGTTAAGAATAATACACTTAATAAATAAACAAGAAGAGCGTTAAAAGTACGTTATGAAGCTTTGCAGCAGGTCAACGTTCTTTCAAGCACACCAGAACGATGTCGACATCCAGTCTGGTGAACGACGACGCTGTGACTAGCTAGTGCAGTTAATTCAGTACATTCATATGCACACATACACACACACATATATATTGAAAGACGTTTAACATCAAATCAACTGGTGTGACTAAAAACTTCATGACGTCATTACAGCAGTGTAGATGAGTCATTTTTACAACAGTTGAATCTCTTGGGTTTAAATTAGAACGTGCATGTTACCTGAGGCAATGAGGATTTCTTGGATTGAATATAAATATTTGGACAAAATGTGCATAAAGAGAGAGCATGTTCGTAAACGCTAAAATAAATAGAAACTGGATTGTACTGAAAAACATTAAGGTACTTTGATGTTTAATCTCATTAGGCAGCTTGATCAGTTATGTGTGTGTGTGTGTGTGTGTGTGTGTGTGTGAACATGCAAGATAGGGCTTAGCAAATTTTCCAACAACGGAATATTGTATTACATATGTTCAAAATGTCTAACACCGTTATCGATGTAAATACAGATTAATTCATCAATTACAAGAGCTTGTTGTTGTTATATATATATATGACGTATGCAGTTGTGGTAAACATATTATTGACTTATTGGATAGGGTTCCTAGGAGGATTACAAGGATGACTTTCTAGATAGAAAGGTTATGGAAATGGTTAAAGTCTTTTAATTTACTTTCTCTTCTGAAAAGAAACGTAAGAAGTGATCTTATTGAAGGTTACAAGATTATCAGGGGTATCGAGAGCATACAAGCCTCTGACTTCTTTGTGCTATGTTCTGAGTAAAATAGGACGAGTAGGTATAATTTTAAGATTTAGAAAAGAGGCTAGGCAGTTAAGATAGTTTGATTTTTCTAACAGGGTGATTGAGCCAAGGAATGAGTAGAAGCCAATCATTTATAGAAGTTTCAGAGGAATTTGTGATTTCCTAAAAATTGAAGGATGGCTTTAATTTTTCCCCTTTCTTAAGGAGAACAATCTAACAGGATCAAATGGCCCCAGGTAACTATGATTGCTAACTTTGTATGTTTTACTGCTACCAGTTAAAATGTTTTTCAGAAATGAATTCTAAATTGAGATTATTTATAGCGTTGTTGTAGTAGCACAAACGCTAGGATCACTTTCATATTCAACTCTAAAACAATAACGTCCAGAGGTAAGTATAATTATTCATTGATAATGAGTTCTAATATATAGCTTTATAACTATATAATATGGTGCTTGAAGAAATCCTCAAGAACGTTCAATGAAACATTCTTTAAAGAAATTATTAGTAAAATGTATATTTAGTATACAAGTTGCTTAATTCTCTTTTTTCTTAATATCTGATCGAGTTTATTTCCCAGCTCCTTTCGTAGATCGCCACGCACTCAGAAAAATATAGAAAAAAAAACAACAAGGATCTCCGAATTAACCTTACGATTTTTTGAAAAGTTTATAAAAATAGGATCAGCATCGGGCATGCACATACTTTCAGGATATTTTTTTGATACTTCTGTAAACTTATACAAATTATAAAGTTATACATCTGGTCATAGGAAGATTTCTTAACAAACCGAGAATATCAACATATCATAAAGATCATTTTTCTTGGATGAATTTTTTTTTTAATTTTCTTTTCATTGAAACACTAAGTTTAGGAACATTAACAGTTAAACAACACAAACAACACTTTTATCATTATATATATTGATCCCGGTTGTGTCTACATAGTACAAAATTATCCCATTTCGTGTTTAAAAGTTTTCGATAAGTTTCAATTACAGGACACTCATTGTAGCCCTTACAGTATGCCTAATAACCAAATCAACGAGCTCGTGCAAAAGAACGTAACTAACTCTAAGCGTACAGTTCAAGAATCATTTCACGAAGAGATAAGACAGGGAAATAAATAAACAAAAACGGAGAAGTTGGTAGCTCAATCTCAGTTACGTTGAGAAGGTTTGTTTGTTTGTTTTTAATTATGAACAAAGCTACACAAAGGCTATCTGTGCTCTGCCCACCACGGGTATCGAAACCCGGTTTCTAGCGTTGTAAGTCCGCAGACATACCGCCGTGCCACTGGGGGGCTCGTTGAGAAGGAGAAATAGCAAGCAAAAAAAAGATTATCAACTAAAACCCTACAGAGGTTTCTTGTTGATTCAATCTCGTGTCTTTTTCCTTTTTTCTTAATATTGGGACAGCTCTTCTGTCCAGATAGAATATTTTCGTAAATATGTCCAACTTTATGGTGAGTACTATGAAAATCCGAATGATATTTATTTGATTGGAAGCATGTTTCGTAGATGTTATTATTTTCATGCCTAACTACTCTTATATTTAAAAATGATGTATACATATTAAGACCACTATTAGTTTGAAAAACAAAATGCTTTAATATTCAGCATGTGCAACTTTCAACCTCTTTTCATATTTCTAATTCTTTTGTAAAATAGAATGTCTGATTAGCTAGTATGATTTATTTATTTCCCTTGTTATATCCTCTGGTGAATTAGAGGTAAGTATGCAGACTTCCAACGCTAAAGTCCATGGCTAAATCCCCCCTCCCCCAGTGGGCAGAATGCAGATAGCCAAATGTGGCTTTACGCTAACACAAACTTTTAAAAATAAATCCATTTTAACGAGAAGTTTACGCGCTAAGACACAGTGGATCTTTAAACATATTAATCCCCCATGTGTAGTTGTGGTACTTACTTTTTGAATGTCTTCTCGTATTCTTTAATTTCCTTCCTAGAAAACTCTGGAAATTCGGTATAAGGATTAAATACTTGGCGCATAGTAGACTCAGGGACGGGACTTCCTTCTTCCCGCTCATTAAAGGCTTGTCGACGGGCCAATTTTTGTGCTAGCTCAGAATCTGCCATTGTGTAGGTACAATATTTTTACAGCGATATAATAAACCTCCAATATACACTTTAGATCTTAGGACTGAATGTTAATCTGTCAGGATATATGAAGAAAGAGTTCAGTTCCGTCTGGGAAGCAACAAGTCACTTAGTTTATAACCACGTGCGATACACAGTCTCAAACACTAAAGTGTTCCTTGCACCAGCTCTCTGTGTACATACTTTATAATAGAACTGATAGATGGCGCTGGTTATTTATCGCTACTACAAAACAGCGTATGACAGCTCATTTGATTATGACATTAAAAGTATATAGAGGTGTTTAGAACCACAATCTGTATAACAGCAATAAAAGAATAATATTTTTTTTAAAAAACAAGAATTATTCCGGTGTGCTGATGATAATATTGGTGAAAGTACTTGTTCAATTATCCAAAATTTTGTATCCCTATAACTTACTTTAATGACAGAATTTTTCAATTACACAAATGGCAGAATAGTGACAAATTATCTGTGATACTATTTACATTGAATTGACCTACTGTAAGTTAATACACTGAATTCTCGTAATTTAGAAAAGAATAAATAAGCGCTTAGGTTGGTTGTGCTTATTGCTTTACCTGTTTGTTTACAACACTTGATTCTAGTTCTCGAGTTTACCAGCACTAGTAAACGTTGCAAGCGACTCTCATACAGAAAACCAAAACAAAATAGCTAAACAACATTTCACAAAACTTCAAACGAACAAATACAGCTTTGATAGACTTGGTGGTGTGAAGAACTACAGCTTGTTTCGAAACCATTTAAAATTAAAGATCGGAATCTTACAATGACGCCGTCTATAATACCCTACATACTGCTTTTTCCACAGTACTTTCAATTCACTGTTTGTTTCCACATCAGTTATATCTGTAAACTCAGTAGAACCGTCAATAAATCCATGAAGTACCCAAAAATCTGACTCATATTACTAAGATACTTCAACAACCTCATATCGTTTTAGTGACGTCATTTACAATACGTGCTAAACTGAGACCAATCTGACAATAACTTGTATGTTGACAACTAATCAGTGTTGATTTGACAGCAGAATATGATTTATCTAAAACTTATTAAGCAAATAGGTTCTTATAAGTATGATTTATACTGTTCTTGAAAATATAACTACTAAAAAACCTTGTGCCAAAAATCTAGCACTCGGGCTACATTCTGTCATATCTTTCCACCTTGATAAAGATGGTGTTACGTCTCCGTTTGTTAATTGATTTTCCGTAACTTCGTTCCGACGAAACTTATGCGACACAAGTTCTTTCTTAATAAAAACTGGTTTATTCTTTCCGAATATAACTGTACCGATACACTCAACTTCAACAATCGCGCTAAA